AGGTTTTTATTAAAAATATATATATATAAATAAATGATCTAGATTATTTTCCTCTTTTTCTGAAGCTACTTTCTTAAAAAAATAAAATGAAATGTTTATAGCATTCATGGTTTTGGCTTTCCCTTTGTGTTTTTGAGCCTTCTTGCTTCAAGGAGCTTTATGGTAGTCTTATTTGATTTGCAAGCTAAAGGGAGACTGGCCATTGGTTAAAGAGAGGACAGTTTGGTCCTAAACTGGAATACAGACTAGATTAAAAAAAACTAGATTTATAAGGGCAAGTTTAAGGGTGAGGAGGTGAGATTAATGATTAATCCTGACTGCTGTACATAGTATATTTATGTGCCTGGATTCCTAGTGGAGGATAGGGGAGGGGTCTCAAATTGGCCAGTGTCATATACTTAACAGTCAAAGCCTCCCTGCTCTGCTTTGGGGGGTGAGGGGGGCGGGTATTTGTTTTTAAACCTTGGGTCACACTTCACCTTCCTAATTCTCAGTTTTCATTGTGTAAAGTCGATAATGTTCCCTGATGTTGCTGCTTCACAGGGCTGTTCTGAGAGGGATCAGATGAAGCTGATGAGTACTGTTTTAAGTGGTTTGGTTTGGTTGTGGGAATGGAAAATGGTAAGGCAAGAATATATAACAACTAGAGGCCCAATGCATGAAAATTCATGCACTGGAGGGGGGGGTCCCTCTGCCCGGCCTGCCCCCTCTCACAGTCCAGGAGCCCTCAGGGGCGGGAGGGGACTGGTGATCAGAGGAAGGTGACGCCCCCATCACACCTCTGCTGCTGCCACTGCCAGCAGCACAAGCCTCAGCCGGCCCTGGGTGGCTGAGCAGCTGCCAATCAAGGCTTGCCTATGCCTCAGGCCAGCCCTGGGGGATGAGAGGACTGGGGGACTCGAGGCAGGCGTGCCTGCCACCCCGGTAGGGCTGAGGGGACTGGGCGCCGCCATCTTTGAGGGCGTGGCAGCAATTAGCATATTCCCTCATTGGCTGTGGGTGCCACCATCTTTGCAATGGCATGAGGGTCAATTAGCATATTCCCTCTTTATTAGATAGGATTACAAACACACACCTAATGACAAGACTAGCAAAATATATGAAGCAAAAGACAACTGAAGTGAGAAACCGCTCTACAATAATAGTTGGAGATTGTAATACTCCACTCTCGTTAATGGATAGAACAACCAGACAGAAGTAAGGAAATAGAAGACTTAACACACACAAAAAACAACTATAATAGCCCTATTATAAAGAATACTTTACCCAGCACTACCATACATTCTTTTCAGGTCGTCCACACCTTTGGGAACCCCTGGACCTGCTGGGGTTGGACCTCAACAACATAGGACATTTTCCAGGTTAGGCCACAAATGAAGTATCAATAGATTTTTAAGAGGTAATTATACAAAACATGTCTGACCACAACAGGATGAAGTTAGAAATCAACAACAGAAGTAAAACTGGAACATTCACACATTTGTAGAAATTAACATATTCAACCAATGGAACAAAGCCAAATCCACAAGAGGAATTAGAAAAAACATAAAGATGAACAAAACAAAGTGTGAAAATTGTATTAAGGGAGAAATTTAGAGCTATGAATGCTTACATTAAAAAACAAGAATGAGCCCTGGCCAGTTTGGCTCAGTGGATAGAGCTTCAGCCTGTGGACTGAAGGGTTGATCCCTAGTAGGGGGCGTGCAGGAGGCAGCTGATTGGTGATTCTCTCATCATTGATGTTTCTCTCCCTCTCCCTTCCTCTCTGAAATCAATAAAAATATATTAAGAAAAAAAAAAAGAATGAGTTCAAATCAACAAGCTAACTACAACTTCAGGAACCAGAAAAAGAACAAACTAAAACCAAAGCTAACAGGAGGTAGGAAACAAAAAAGATTAGAAAAGAGATTAGGAAAACAATTGTAAAAAATAAATGAAACTATAAATTAGTTCAAAGATCAACAAAATTGGCAAACCTTTTGCAAGACAAACTAAAAAATCAAAGACTCAAATTTCTAAAATGAAAAAGTGGGGAATTTACTACTGGTTGTGCAGGAATATAAGAACACTGTACATCAACAAATTAGATAACTTAGATGAAATAGACAAATTCCTAGAACACAACTATCATGACTGCATCATGAAGAAACAAAGTCTGAGTAGACCTATAACTAGTAAGGAAATTGAATCAGTAATTTAAAAATCTGATAAAAGCCCAGGACCTAATGTCTTGTGAATTGTACCAAACATTTAACGAATTATTTACCAATACTCAAATGTTACCAAAACAAAAAATTAAAGAGGTAACACTTCATAACTCATTTTATGAGGCCACATAACCCTGATACCAAAGGCAGACAAAAAACACATTAAAAGAAGAAACTACAGGCCAATACATTTTATAAATATTGATGCCAAAAATCCCCAACAAACTACTCAAAAACCAAATTCAGTAGCATATTAAAAAGATTACATACCAAGTGGGATTTAATCCTGGAATGCAAGAATGGCTCAACATGTGGAAATTGATCAATGTCATAAACCACATTAACAGAATAAAAGTACGTGATCATCTTGCAGAAAAAAGCATTTGGCAAAATTGAACATTCTTTCATGATTTAAAAAAAAGAAGTCCAATAAACTAGGAATAGAAAGAAACTACTTGAGCATAATAACAGCCAACCAGCAACAAGCATTCTCAGTGGTGAAGTAAAAGCATTTTCTAAGATCAGGACCAAGGCAAGGATGTCTGCTTTTACCACTTCCATTCAATATAGTAGTGGAAGTTCTAGCCAGGGCAATTAGGCAAGGAAGACAACAAATACCCAAATTGAAAAATAATTAAAATTTATCTCTGTTGCCCTAACCGGTTTGGCTCAGTGGCTAGAGCGTCGGCCTGCGGACTGAAGGGTCCCAGGTTCGATTCCAGTCTAGGGCATGTACCTTGGTTGCGGGCACATCCCCAGTAGGGGTTGTGCAGGAGGCAGCTGATTGATGTTTCTCTCTCATTGATGTTTCTAACTCTCTATCCCTTTCCCTTCCTCTCTGTAAAAAAATCAATAAAATATATTTAAAAATTTTTTTAAAAAGAAGTGTAGAGTCTGAGATTAAAAAAAAAATTATCTCTGTTTGCAGGTGATATGATCTTTTATGTAGAAAACTAAAGATTCCACAAAAACAAAAAAACACTGCATTGTTAGAACTAATACAGAGTGTCCCCCCAAAAAATGTATACACACACTTTGAATAATTATAAAGGCAGTGTTTATTAAAATGTATTTCATTTTCAAAATTGAGCTATCAGCTGTTAAAGTGTGTATACATTTTTTTGGGGGGGGGGCATCCTGTATAGTTAGATGAATTCAGCAAAGTAGCAAGATATAAAATTACACAAGACTCAGTTGCATTTCTATACACTAACAATGAAAAGGAAGTTAGGAAAACAATTCTATTCACAATAGCTTCAAAAAACAATAAAATAGAACTAAACTTAACCAAGTAGTCAAAAGACATGTATACTGAAAATTATAAAACATTAAAGATGACACAAATGGAAAGACATCCCATGCTCATGAATTGGAATATTTAATACTAAGATGTCCATACTATCCAAAGCAATCTACAGATTTAATGCAATTCCTAACAAAACCCCAGCAGCAGTTTTTTCCTCTCTTAAAAATAGAAAAACTCATCCTAAAATGCATGTGGAATCTCAAGAGATCCTGAAGAGCCAAAACAATTTTGAAAAAGAACAAGTATGGAGACACACTTTCTGATGTCAAAACTTAACTACAAAGCCATAGTAATCAAAACAGTGCAGTACTGCCCTAGCCAGTTTGGCTCAGTGGATAAAGTGTCGGTGTGTGGACTGAAGGGTCCCAGGTTTAATTCTGGTCAAGGGCACATGCCCGGGTCTTTGGCTTTATCCCCAGTTTGGGGTGTGTAGGAGGTAACTGATCAATGATTCTCATCATTGATGTTTCTATCTCTCCCTTCCTCTCTGAAATCAATAAAAAATATATATATTTTTTAAAAGCAGAGCTGAAAGTGACTCTACCAGTAAAGTCTGTGTTTTTCCTGGCCCATGGTGTTTGGGCAGAAGAGAACACTGAAGCTCGGACTGGGATGGCTGTGGAGCCTCAGAGGTGAGGAAGTGGGCTGCATTTCCTACTCTGTGTTGCCACCTGGAGCAGCATACAGCTCAGCACCATTCCCAGCAGGAATGGAGAGTTTGCCTGGCACCAACCACCCGGACAGATCTGTTTAGTACCTCTCTGAGTGTCAGAGCTGGGAGTAGACTTACCATCCATAAGTTCTGGCCCTTAACACCCTTAAGCCCCAGTGTCCTATAGATCCTAAACCTGGCATTTCTCTACCCTCAACCCCTTCAGGCTGGGCCTAAGCAGAGCCTGGGTGCTGCCTTACAGAAGTTGAATAATTCAGGTCCCAAGTGGCCTGAAGTATCAGTTTCAGTTTCTCTATTCCCTTGCACAGGGGTAATTAAGCTAATGAAAAGGGCCCAGAGGAGAGGCCTGCTGTCCTGTGCCTCCGAGGGATCAGGACTGATGGAGTCCCTGACCCTGATGGAGAATGCACCAGGCTCATCCAGAGCCCAGGTATGGGGAATGGAAGCAGGAAGTCAGGGGGGCTAAGATAGAAGGAGGAGAAAAGAAGAGAGAGTGAAGAGGAAGATCTGAGTCAGAGAAGCCAAGAGAGACTAAGAAAGAGTTACAGAGAAATAGACAGAAGGAAACAGAGACAGGGAAGCTGAGTGTGAGGTAAAGGGAGTGGGAGGGGCAGAGGAAAGGGCAGAGACAGAGGCCAGAAGAGCCAAGGTCCAGCAGAGAAGGAGAAGTACTAAAATCCAAGGACAAGTACAAAAAAGGAGAGTCAGATAACCAGATGGGCTGCAGGGCTCCCCAGTGGGTAGCTGGACCCACCAAAGATCTTCCTTCTGACTTCCAGGTGTTGTCCACACCATCCTTGCTAGCAGGCCCTGATGCTGCCCTAGGTCGAGCCAGGAGGCTCACACCCAGAGACCTGCCCCGCAGGGCCATGGGGCCCAGGAGCCACTGCCTTGGCCTCTCCAGACTGGGCCTTCTGTTCCTGTTCCTGCTCCCACTCCTTCCAGGTATGAAGCTCAGTAAACCAGGCCTGGCCTCTCTGGGTGCTGCTGCTGTTCTTGTCCTCTCCAAATATCTCTCTTTTCATTTCTCTCTGCAGTTACCTATGCAGGAGAACAAGCTGTCGGGGGAGTGTGGAGGAGGGGGTGCAGAAAAGGGTGAGAGATTTGCCTGACTGGGGTGGGTGAGGTGAGAGGGGAGCTTCCAGAGATAGGACTGGAAAAGCTAGGGGCCCTTGAAGGCCAGGCTGAGTTGGGGCTTTATTCAGTAGGCAATGAGGAGCCATTGAATAGTTTTAAGCAGTTACTGGCCTGGTCAGATTTGTGTGTTCAAAAGCTTGATCTCGCCTGGCTGGTGTGGTTCAGTTGGTTGAGCATCCTCCCATGTACCTAGATGTTGCCGGTTCATTTCCAGACAGGGCACATGCCTGGTTTCAGCCTGATCCTCAGTGGGGAGGCGGGGGGGGGCGTGCAGGAGGTAGTCGATCGATGTTTCTCTCATCAATGTTTCCCACTCTCTCTCTCTCCCTTCCCCTATCTCTAAAATCAATTTTTAAAATATATTAAAGCCCGGCCGGTGTGGCTCAGTGGTTGAGCTTCAACCTATGAACCAGGAGGTCACAGTTTGATTCCCAGTCAGGGCACATGCCCGGGTGGCGGGCTCGATCCCCAGTGTGGGGCATGTAGGAGGCAGCCAATCAATGATTCTCTCCCATCGTTGATGTTTCTATTTTCCCCTCCCTCTCCCTTCCTCTCTGAAATCAATAAAAATATATATATATTTTTTAAAAACTTGATGCTAAAATTCTCAACAAAATATTAGCAAATCGCATCCAACAAAACATTAAAAAGATCATACACCATGAACAAGTGGGATTTATTCTGGGGATGCAGGCTGGTACAATATCTGTAAATCAATAAACGTATACATCAGATAAACAAATTGAAAGACAAAAAATAGCTTGATCTCTCAGAAATGTGGAGGAAGATTAGAGAGGCTGGGCCTGAGACCAGAGGGAGCAGTGAGGAGGCTGCTGCTGCTGTGGTCCATGAGAGGGAGGATGAGGCCTGAGCTGAAGAGGCGATTTAACATTCAAGAGATGCTCAGCAGTATGGCTGACAGGATTTGGGTATTGGTTGGTCTGCAGGGGTAAACGACAGGAGGGAGAGTGATAATTCCTAGGTTTCCAGCTGAGGTCACTGGGGGGTGCTGTTTGCTGAGATGGGGAACATCAAACAAGGAGGTTTCAGAGCATGGGGGGAGGAAATGAATTCCTGTTGTGACCTAGAGAGTTTAAGGTGCCTACAGGACATTCAAGAGTGGATTGTTGTATATATGCATCTGGAGCTCAGGGGACCGGAGAAAAAGGAGAGGAGGGTCAACAACAGGATTCTGAGAAGCAATACTTAAGTCAGGAACTAAGGACAATATGGTGTGTCACAAAAGCCTAGGGATGGGGTGTGTTTTTAGGTGGGACTGGCCTACAGTGTCAGAAGCCTTGAAGAAATTAACTGAAGTGCAACAGGAGGAGTGGAGGCAGGTTTGAGAAACTGGAGGGGGCTGGGCAAGGGGGTTCAGATGCCTGGGTGAGAGCTGGCGCTCTTGTGGCCTATATAGGCCCTTCTAGCATTTGTGGCAAGGCAGACCGAATCCAGGTCCTTGGGAAGGGAAAGGCAGGGAAGAAACCCATCAGCCTTGCTTCAGAAAAAGAGTATCAATTCACTCCACCTACTCACCCTGTGGCCTATATAGGCCCTTCTAGCATTTGTGGCAAGGCAGACCGAATCCAGGTCCTTGGGAAGGGAAAGGCAGGGAAGAAACCCATCAGCCTTGCTTCAGAAAAAGAGTATCAATTCACTCCACCTACTTCACCTCATTCATCCCTGGAGGCAGGCCAGGGAACTAGAGTCACAGCCTGGGGACAGAGGGCAGCCATCAGGAGGACCAGTCAGACCACTGTGAGAGTGGAGCAGGTGACGGCCCCAGGCTTGTGGAGGTGCAGGGTGTGAGCAGAGGCTCCTGCACTAGAGTAAACCTTCTTGCTTGTCCCCCAGGATGCTTGGGAGCTGAGGGCAGGCTGGCTCACAAGCTGTTCCGTGACCTTTTTGCCAACTATACAAGTGCCCTGAGACCTGTGGCGGATACAGACCAGACTCTGAATGTGACCCTGGAGGTGACATTGTCCCAGATCATTGACATGGTACATTGTGGTTGTACAACTGCGGAATGTGCTGGTGACAGTGTCAAGGAATTTGGGGGTGGGGGACTGGGATGATTCACCAAACAATTCTTTTCTGTAAACATTAATATTAACAATAACAGCTACTAACTTGGATACTGTTAGGTGCCCACAGTGTGCCCAAAACTTTGCACCCTTGAATCCTGCCCAGCAGGGATTATCACCCATACAACTGCTAAGGAAGCTGAGGCCCAGAGAAGAACCTGTCAAGGTCACAACAAGGCCTGGGTGGGAACTGGGCTGTACGGGCAAGTTGGGTTTGTGGGCACTGACTAGAACTCTGTAGGTGAGTTGCACACACAGGGAAGGATATGCATGCACATGTGTCCACATCTGTGCCCACTCCCTGCCCAACTAGGATGAGCGCAACCAGGTGCTGACCCTATACCTGTGGATCCGACAGGAGTGGACAGATGCCTACTTACGATGGGACCCCGATGACTATGGTGGCCTGGATGCCATCCGCATCCCCAGCGGTCTAGTGTGGCGGCCAGACATCGTACTCTATAACAAGTACTGCCTGCCTGGGCCCCTCCCCTCTCCTAGCCCTCCCTGGAGTTGCCCTTGGTTCCGGGTAGGCACTTATCCCTCATTCCCCCACCTAACTAGCTGCTATGCTGCCCTGGAAGTTGTGCCCCAGGACCCTTCTAATCTGGCAGGAAGGTATTGGCAGTGGTGGCTACATGGCACAGTGGGCTTCCTCACAGCCCCGCACAGCCCCTCCATGGCATCCCCACTTGAGGCTGTCCCAAGGCAACCCAGGCTGAATGTCTTCCAGGAACCCACTGTGCTGTCCAGGCCAGTTCTGTATCTCTGGCAGAGAGGGTTCAGGGGCACCAGTGCTCTTCATGGCACACTCCTCCCTTCCAGGCTGGCTCTGAGTCTCAGGGCTCCCCGGAGGCCTGCCTAGGGCCCTCTGGGGCATCTGGGGCATCCCCTTATGCTGCCTAAGCCAGTTCTGTTTCTTGTTTTTATTTTTATTGATTTCAGAGAGGAAGGAAGAGGGAAAGAGATAGAAACATCAATGATGAGAGAGAACCATTAATGCCTCCCTCTTGCCCCACAGGGATCCAACCCACAACCCTGACCAGGAATCGAACCGTGCCCTCTCAGTTCATAGGTCGATGCTCAACCATTGAGCACCCTGGCCGGGCCAGTTCTGTTTTCCAGACAACACATGGCTCTGCATATTCCCCCAGGGGCCCCTCCACAATCTTAGCAGATGGCACCCAAGAGAGGTCACTGTGCCACCACGTGCCAACTTTTGCAGAGGACTTTTCCTGCCGCCCTGGACTAGATCAGTACCCTCTCTGGGCCCTCAGGCGCTGCCCCTTCCAGGCCTCCAAAAGCACCCAGGGCCCTCCCCAGGGCACAATCTGTCTTCCCTGCAGGGGCATTGGGGCCTAGGACTCCTGTCCTGGGGTGGCGGGGCCACTGCCTCAGGGAGCCCCTCTTCCCCTCCCATCCCCCCCACCCCATCC